AATATCTGTTGAGCTCTAGCTTTCCAATGTGAAAAAGTTTTTTATTCACACTACTGCAGAGGCAAAGATTTTGTTCACTGTTGAGACCAATATAGCTGGTAAACACAGCAATGAGCTTTTTTCAATCTGGCTACTCACTCAGGCTTTCAAGGATCGAAACAAATTTGCAGTCGAAGCGTCGTCCCCTAATACGGGGATTCTGCGGCAGCCGATAGCAAAAATTGTAAGACGTATTATCATGCCAGCAAGTGCAATCCTCTTCAATGTTGCTATCTTCAAACTTGCTATTCTGCAATCTCTTATTAAGATAGGTTCGTTAGCTGTGCGAAGCTGCTTGAGGAGAAACTCACTAGCTGTACGCCTACAATGGTCAGTGAACCAATTAATGCAAAATACACAACGAGAAAATAAGCAGAGGTAGCGGTAAGAAAATACACCATCTTGAAGAACCATATGCTCAAGGTGTATAACATTCTGAATAAATTGAAAAAATATATTAGATTGGTCCGAAAGTTCTGTCCCACCATTTTCAAAGAATCGTAACTTCTTCCTGACACTATGATTTGCAAGAGTAAAAACACATTGAAAACAGCAATTTACGCACTTTCTAGAAACATCTTGGTTGCTATCTACTAACCTCTAGCAGAGATAAAATTGGGAAAAGGAAATCATTTCAATTTCGGATTTTTTAAGCAAGCCCGTTAAAAAATCCAAAAGTGTACCATAAAATCCAAAACAGCCAGTATCCCAAGTTTTCTAATCCCCTCTTTCTATTTGGACAAACTCGCGCTGATGGAGCTCTTTTGAAATAAGTTATGATTTCCAAGAAAAAATGCCAAAAATCAGTTTCTTAAGAAAATTGATTCTTTGACACTCAAAAATTCATAACTTTTCGAAGAAAAGCTCGATCAACGCAAACTTTGCTCAGCCAGAAAGAAGGGATGAAACAGTCCAGGATACTGGCTGTTTCCGATTTTCTGACACAGTTTTGGAATTTTTAACGGGCTTGCCTCAAAATTCCGAAATTGAAGTGATTTCCTTTTCCCAAATTTATCTCTACTTTCAGAGGTTAGTAGATAGCATTCAAGATGTTTTCTAGAAAGTGCTGAATTGCTGTTTCTAATGTGTTTTGACTCTTGCAAACCATTGTGTTAGGAAGAAGTTACGATTTCTTGAAAATGGTGGAACAGAACTTTCGGACCAACCTAATAGACACACGCCTTGCTAGACTTTTCGTCGATGTTTTTTTTCGTATTTTTTTATCGGCAATGAAGTAATTTATCCACTCTGTGAGTAACAATCAAGGCAACGTGCAATTCTTCGCAATGCTCAGTAACTTTAAAGCAATTCGGAAATTGGTTTGATTTTATTAATTTCAAATTTCGATTCTGACCAGAAGTATGTCATAAAGATAGTTACGATATGCCATTTGCGAAGGTCATATCAATTGAAGTAACATCATCTCTAGCGTAACGGTAGGTACCCATTGACAGGGAAAGGAATGTTGATCTAACTTGCCTTTTGTGATGAGATGTAAATTATCCTGTAAAGCTTGGAACGCTGATTCCAAATCTGCCTTTGCGGTCTGCTGCGGCTTTTGGTGAGAAGTTATGAAGGTTCTTATGAGTAAGAATATAAATGCAAGACTGGTGTAAAATCGGTTGCAAAATCTTTTCACGGGGCTTAACTGGTAATCGGGTCACTCGGTGCAATAAATATTCTTGATTTGAGTATACCGACTAGCTGCTGCTTCGTTTGAACGTTAGGAAAAGGTTACGAGTGATTTTGCAGTAATCTGCATTTAACTCTTTACTAACAAAAACCTTCATAACTTCTCGATCAAGCCTGCAGCAGAAAGGCTAGATTTATAATTAGCGTTCCAAACTATACAAGATAGTGTACATCTCATCTCAAAAGGCCACTTCGACCAACCCTCCTTCCCTTGTAAGATGTAAGTTGTGTCTTCTGGCAAAGGAAATTGAAGCCATTTTGCATAGTAATTCAGTTTTTTTCGTAGTTTGCTAGTTGTATGGCATCCTCTTTTGTGATATGGTATAAAGAAGAAAGGATCAACAACACTGTGAGAAATATGTATGTTTTCAATCATTGTAGACGGAGAACACCACTTGTATAAAGCGGTATCGAACAGGAAGCAAAGATACGAAGAAAAAAGAATGAAATTGACAGGAAAAGTAGCTTGAACTTTGCAAACCTCAAACAATCTTAGCACATTTTTAGCGCGACATCTCATTCTTTGGAATTGAAAGAGTTTATGGCTTCAGTCTTCGAACAAACTTCCATCAATAATATGTAGGTGATTAATGTGATTTTACCCCTACTAACCAAAAGCGAATAAATCTTTCGTAGACGTCTAAGATGATTTATGACATTATAGAGAGAAGTGGAAGAGTTCGCAACCTTAAGGAGAAATGGAGATTCTATCCGATTTATTGCAAAACGCGGGTATCACCGCAGCGGATCGTAATAAAAACACCTAATTTGTTCCAAGGCAAAAAGACTATAAAGTTGCATTCAAAGTGCATTGTATATTTTCAAGCAAATATATGGGCGATATCTAGCTATCATAGCGTTGTAAGTAAGGTTTTGATAGCCATTGGAATTATTTGTTTCGACCTTAATTAATCTCATTCGAAACAATACAGTGATTATCGCAAGACACTATATTGAGCCTCGTTGAAACATGTGATGTCATGATTACTGTGCAAAGGCTTTATAGATATAAGGAGGAAAAATAATCCACTTAGATCCTATAATAGGTTGGTTCGTAAGTTTGTTCGACAATTTTTGAAAACTCATGACTTTCCTCCATCTGTGTGGATTCGCTTGACATGATTTGAAATGAGAGTATTAGTAATTCCCGAAGGGAGGTTGGGTGCATTCTTGCTAATACAATTTGCAGAGACAAGAATGCAAAAGAAGACAATTCGAGTTTTGGATACTTCAAGCAACCTTAGTAGACTAAAAACATTACGGTAAAAACCGAAATGGCCATGCAGGCGTGTCTTTTAGAGCCTTTCCATTTTCAAAGTACGTTACAGCGGGAATTCGCAGCTCGCAGCACCCCTGTTTTTTACTCTTTTGTATTTCTCATCTTTCTTTTTTATCTTCATTTCAAACACTTGCTCATCGGTTACTCGGTCTTCTTTTCTTTGAAGTTGTCTCGGTCAAGCATCCTACAAGTTCCGCTTTGATGGATACTGAAAGAGCAGCAAAAACGGTTTTGGCACAATTATTGAATTTCTTTTCCTTTTTACATACCATAAAAACATTTTCGGATCGTAAATCATCGTCCCGGGCATAGATAGGAAAGGGGTGTGCTTTCTTTATCTGCATTGATGGCTATCATACCATTTCCACAAATGAGGCCACCATGTTCATTAGCACACCTACGCGTGCCCTTGATGTAGGAGTGCTTAAACAGCCACTGCAGTGGTCTATGTCAAGAAAAATGACAAGTCATTATAAAACACTGAAAAAAACATGCACTTCCAATCGTAGCTACGATATCCACGACTGCAACTTCTAAGAAAACTCATCATTCCTTCCGATTTTGTGCCGAGCAATGTTCTTGCGTGAATGAGAATATGTAGCTGCCTAAATGAGAATCAAGAAAAAAACGATGTAAAAAGCTCAAACAATTAGAGAGGTTAAAGGACAAGTATGCTGTGAGCTGCGAATATCCGAGAGCCGCAGCATGCTGTAAGGCTTTGAAGGGTCCAAAAAGGCCCGTCTGCTTTGGTGTGAATGCATGAAACGGGGGGGGGGGTTGTCGACGTATATACTTTAGTAAGCATTCAAAAGCATGATCTCTCAGTATCATGAAATATGAGATATATTGCTGCTAGTGCTTCTATTCTATTCTATTCCATTTATACGATCTTGACACTTCAGTGCTTGTGCTTCATATATGGTAACTGTAAAACGAAGATTGTTGAGAACGGAATCAAGTTTGAGTAGTGACGGAGAAGTTGGACGTACAGGGCTCCTAAATTGCAGAGTCGTTTGCACCAGCGGTCGCGCGACCGCGTCGCGCTCGCCGCCTCGATCGATGGCGCCGGCGCCGGCAAAATGTCCGGGCGCGACACGGTCGCGCGACCGCTGGTGCAAACGACTCTGCAATTTAGGAGCCCTGTACGTTTATGAAAAAAAACCAAACAATTAATTTGTAAAGTGTGCTTCTATGATATCAATGTGTTTCGCAAACTCAACGTTGACATTAGTACTGCAAGCAGCTTAGGCAACGCGGCTGCAGTTATCCACTTTATCTTCTTTGAATTGAAATGTACACGGCCGTTTTTTTTGTGAGAGCGGATGAGATAGATGAAGTAGGCAATGCTGCGTCTCAAGTACACTCTAGGCTGTAGGCCGCTCGCACAAACATCCAGACTTTTGTACCTCTTTATTGATTCAAATTCACGAAATTATAGCAGCTCATTGAGCAAACTGCGAAGACTCCTGTTGAGAACAGCTAATCGATGTCTTCAAACCTTTTATTTTCAATTATCACTATCATTATCGTAATACAATTAATCGTCATTCGCAACTTTTGCAAGTTCTCCGTATTGTAGCATCGTTTCCTTGCAAACGAGAAAGGCGTCTTGTCTAATTATCTGATGGTTTCAACTAAAAAAAACACCGAATAAAGTTCCCGCTGACCATTTTGTTGCTTATTTTGCCAGATTACGAGAGGAAGCAATTTGAGAGAAGGAATCAGTTTTACCCTGGCTAAATCTCTCAGGTATAGGATATAAAAGTAGATTCCAGAATGATTAAAAAAGTTTATTCGATATGAGCTCTCCTTAAGATATGTAGCAACCTAGCAAGTAAAGACGCATTTGGCTTATGAATTTCAAAAACATCTCGTTTACCAGCGACTAAAAATCACAATGTAAACAAAAAAAAGATAAACAAGTAGTGAGGGGCTCATCAAGCTTTCGTATCGCTAGTAGTGCAATGTATTAATCTTTACTTCTAAGTATTCACCAGCAAGCAAAGTCTTCTTCCGAGTGATTTTCCCCTGTGTAAGCTTGTGCGACGTCTCCTTCGCTCACAACGTATTTTTCTGGGTTGTAATTGTAGGAATTTGCCAAAAGTACATTGATAACCGACTGGTCGTATCTGAAACACGGACATGATCAGAAATTAAATATAGCATATCGACTGGAAGTTCGCATATGGCTATTTTAGTTGCTGCTGCACCTGGGCCGGCAGTAATCTCCCGACTTGACGGCGGGTCTCGCTGGCAGCTCGCCGGCACATTGCCGCGAGGTCGTCAGAAGCTAAAATCCCGGCACCTTGCCGTGAGGTCGTCAGAACCTAAAATCCCAAATTTAGGCCTTTTTAGGCCTTTTTCCAAGAAATTTTTTGGATGAAGGTGCCACCACGACTCTATAGAAACATCGCTCAAAACTTGAGGTTTCAGGAAGTTTCCAGTGTGAAAATATTTGGATGCGCAGGAGAAGTGCCGGCTTCTCGTCGAAATTTGTGAGATGGCAGCTGTTGGCAGGTCAGAGAAAACAAAAAATGGCATGCTCTCTTGGAAGTTGACAACATTTTGACGTGCCCATACCATGTTAAGGTGTTGGCACCTTCCCGACGGCGCTTGTCAATATGACGCAAAGTCAGGCGAAAGAATCAGAAAATCTCACTTTTTATGGAAAAAACTTTTATTTTTCTTATTATGCGAGTTTTCCGCTCTTGAGTCGATGTTATTATTCCAGAAGGAAATTTATTTATATCATAGAACCGTAAAAAAACACTCTTTTTTGCAAGCCCCTTCCAAATCTCGTTTGCACTGATTTCGCCCCTCTCTTGCTCATATCAATCAGCTGTCTCTCAGGTCAAAGTCGCTCACGCAAATAGATCATGCCCTCTTACAAGCGGTCACTTACCTCTGCGTTCCTCACATTGCTGGTGCTTCGATAACCATTGACCAAATGGTTGAATGGTTAGTGCTGCAGGGATTGAAGTTAATGCATGCAGGTTCCGAAGCGCGCCGTATCACGACTTTGCGGTTGTCTGCCTCATCAAACTTTCATTTGCGGAGTGATTGCAGATGAAGCCCCTATGCACTAACATCCCTTCGACAATAAACAAAGTCGAAGAAGATGCTCCTATAAAATAGTGCCAGATGAACGACTTTAAAATATCAATGATAGCCGATTTGCGATCCTTCTCTATGGCCGAAATTCCTCCGTACGATATCCCTAACGCTTTTCTTTTTGGAAAAAATTGGCTATCCTAATGTCTGCCACTCTGGTAGATTTCGTATCCTCACTCTCCCAACATGTCTTCACCAAAAATATCTAAATGTGGTTAGCTTTTGCAGCTCCTTCTCTTTGCAGCGCAATAAAATTTTGTAATTTTTGATTCTGTTTTTCAGTTTTTTTGGAATCAAAAACAGATTAAACAGAATGCATGAGGATTCTTCATGAAAACTCAATGACATAGCTGAACTGAGCTGTCACTCGGAATAGGGATAGGATGACACCACCTCCGTTTTATGTTCTGGGAATGGAAGTGTTATTGGCTGGTAAGCATGAGACCAGGTGAATTTACGGTAAGTGGGTAAAAATAGCGGGTCACGTTATCTGGCTCAACATTGTACATCATCGTAAGCTAAACATGCGCATTCCCCCTTTTATGTACTTGATCTAGTGGTGATCGTACCAAGTTCAGGTGAAAAATTTTTTTCCAAATGAGAATCGCGTGAAACAAGGCAAAGCATTTGTTTAAGAGATTTAACATTTTTTAACTCTTTTTTCCAAAGCAAGATTTTTGACTCTTTTTGTCATGCTTTTTATTCGATCTCAGATTTAACACTAACGTGTTAAATCTCCCAATCAAATTGACTGATTTCAAGCTAATATGCCACAATTCTCCCTGGATTTGAAGTTGGCCTTGGATGAATCGGCTGAGGCAACTCTAAGATCCACATTTGATGCTTTACATGAATTTTTTGTAACTAGTGGAAAGCACTCAGATGAGCCGCCAAACGAGTGCTGATGCCAAATTCATGAGAAAGGTGCACAATGTTAGAGCAAGTCCCCAGAAATATTTCAAATTATCGTTTGTGTCATTTACCTCAGCATAATGATCACACGATTCAGTCTCTTGCTGTTAGGTATACTTATTTTTGGTCATTCAGCAGGAAAGGCGTAAACTTGTCAGCTTATAGACATAGCTGCTATCTTAACAGAAGAAAACGAGTTGGAGAATGATTGATCTGTAGTTTAGAGATTCAGTTTATCGGGTCAATGTAGATTAGTTTCAAAGTGAATTTCTACCTAGCTCCTCTTTCCAGGAAATGTCCTTGTGTATACTCTCTCGCAAAAGCGTATTGCAATGGTAATCTCGTACAATGCGGACTGAACAAGCACTTGTGCAGCACTTTTTTCTTCCAGAATTTACGGAGTATAGGGCAAATGGCAAACAATGGCAAACCCAGATAACTGTAGCGAAACTAAAAGGCAAAAAGAAGGCAGTTCACATTCACATGGCAGTTCCAGTCGGCACTCATAGTACCTCGAAACAAATATACAAATACCCATGAGGGGCTACATATCACCGTCTATGGTGATGAGCCTATGTTCTGCGACAGCACATCGTCCTCTTGCATCTGCGATAGCGTAGTGGACACGAGCAACCCGCTCCTTGCGGTTGGCAGGAGATCATTCCGGACGACTGGCACGAATTAGCGCATGATGATGCGCACGCTGGTGCGCATTGTGATGCCTGGAATGTTTATCGATTGATTGTGCGGTTTGCTGTGGTGGTAGTTTGACCGTACTGGATTCTGATCTACGCATTGTGCGTTGCAAGTCTGTTGACATTGCGGCAGGCAATTTGGCGAAAACGCAGAAACGGGTACATTTACAGTCAGCACAATCTGCTAGAATGAAAAGGTCGGACATGGAAAGGGAGTACTATAGGATTACTGTAATGTAACTTACTGCTGGCTGTCCTTGGATGCACGATACAGCACAAGATGGTTGGCATGCGGGCATGCAAACTTGCTGAGTAGTCTGGAATGCAAAAGTTTAGCCTTTGCCTCACAAGGGTGAGAATACAGTATACTTACCGTAGTTCCGCAAACTGATTGGCATTGTACATCACATTGTTGTTGACAGTTCTCTCCACCCTGTTGTTGACATGCTTCCATGCAAGCTGTTTGACACTGGCTGCACGGATCTTGTGGGTACTGTAAAGAATAAGACCATCAATTTCTGAGGCAAGCCGCGCCCCTTAATGGTGTATCTCGTACAAATTCATCTAAAAATTCTCAAAAATTACAGTTCATCTATCTTCCCGGCCCCTTAAATTTACAAGAATTTTTCTAGAAACTTGCAGGTGAATATAATCACCGGTTGGTAAAGCGAAGGTGTCGTGCTGGGTGCACCGCACACTGATGCACAATTTCGAGCGCAAGCCTCTTCACACTGTTGCTGAGGCTGTCCCGCAGCTGCGCACTCGTTCATACATGCTCCCATACACTGTTGGCATGGATCCTGATCGTAGTAAGGAGTTGGCTGAAATATACGGTATTACTATGGACAAGCTTGAAGTACAGTAAACTTACAGTAGGCGTGATTGGCTGGTAAGTGATGGGCACGGTAGGATAGGTGATTGGCGCCATTGTTGTGGTTGTGGGTGGTGGAGTTGGCGGAAGGGTCGGTGGTGGAGTGGGTGGCATGGTGGGAATGGTGCTGGGCGGGAGGGTTGGAATGGTAATGGGTGGAAGGGTGGGAATAGTGGTGGGTGGCATGGTGATGGGGGGTAGGGTAGTGGGTGGCAGCGTAACCGGTGGCAGTGTGGGTGGCACAGTAGTTGGTGCGGTAGTTGGGATGCTTGGTGGACTGTAGATTGTCGTCGGTAGCGAAGGTTCAGCGCTATAAAAGGGAGATATACGGTAATGATACGGTAAATCTCTGATATAGATACAATATCGCTCAAAGTCTTTCTAATTCTTTCCTTAATATCCTTTCTGCACCAAGATTTGCACTTTGTGCCAGCTATTCGCAGAATTTTTCCGTACCTTCCAAATCATTTATGCACACAAGTATTGACGCCTGCTGCACACAACAATAACTTCCGAGCAGTTTTTATGTTTCTTTACCTTCTCCAATGCGCACACAATTTCTTGGGATAATCCGATATTTGCTCTAACTTACCATCCAGCCTGGCAAGATTGTAGGCAAGCAGCTTCATTCGGTTGTCCTCGACAAGCGATCTCGCATTGTTGTACACACGAAGAAGCCTGCAAAATAATTTCTTAAACGGAAGAGTAAAAATTGAAAATTAACAAACCTGTGGACTACACGATGCTATGCAAGTGTTTCCACACATTTGTTGGCATTGCCAGACTGGCATAGGGCATGTGCTCATGCAAGCGGATTCACACTTCGGAGCGCACTGTAATGTTCATTACCGTATGACTACCGTAATGCGAGAATTACAATAAAAGCTGAATTACTTGTTGAACGGCACATTGACATGACGAGAACTGTAGCGCTGGCAAACAGGAACAACCTTGTTGTATGCAGGAACACATTGGCACGCAACAACGACGCTTGCGAATCTGAAGAGTTACTAGCTATACTGTTGCATGCTACAGTAACCGGAAGAATACAACTGTACTACAACTTCCAGTTAAATGCTACATCAGGGAGAATACAACCATGCTGTGCATGTTGCAGTAACTGGAAGAATACTGCTATATGTTGCATGCTACAGTAATGGAGAGAGTACAAATATACTCTTGCATGCAGCAGTACTTAGTAGGATACAATTATGCTGTTGCATGCTACAGTGGTGTTAAGAGTACATGGGAATACAGTTATACTGTTGCATCGTACAGTACCTGGGAGAACACAAATGTGCTGTTGCATGCTACAGTAATGGAGAGAATACAACTATATTGTTGCATGTTACAGTAACTATGAGAATACAAGTTCTAATAGACATTTTCGATTTGTACGATATGACTATTAATCAAGATACCGCAATTACAGCAAAATTTGAAGTCCGGTAAGTGTAAACTAAAGTAGACAAGTAAGGAAACCGGAGAACTTACCGGTTCAGCCGAAATAAATGCAATCGAGCAGACGGCGACGATGCAAAGAAAGCGCATGCTTGCTCGAGTGGAGAACGATGGCGGAGGTTGTCCGGAGCGCTTTATATCGCTGCCGTCGCGTCCGTTCCGGTCCGGCTTCGATGTTGACGTGATCCTGGCGATACTTCAGGATAAAAGTCAACTTGTGAGTCGTTCGAAGTTTTTATTTGTTCGTGCGGTCGTCGTCGTCGTCATCGCCTTCATGACGGCGGCGACGTCGACATTGACGCGCGCGTCGCGTGTCGGACCTTGCGGCGCCTACTCTTTGGGAATTCCGCAGAAGAACCGGTCCTGCTGCGTCTATACTCCGCCATGATGTGTACTATGAAAAAGCGACCTGCACGACGTATTAAGCTACCCTAGTCTTGTCATTAATCTCCAATAATCCGATAATCATATCAACAATTTCTAGAAGTGTTTTCACATAGGCCTCTCAGACTTTCTCGGATGAGTTTTCCTGGGTGTTAGGTAATCATAGATTTTACGATCAAGGATTTTGCGATCAAAGACCGAAAAACCGATGCAGTGGAAAAGTAGGAATCTAATAGATATTTCTATGAAAATCAATATCAAATACCTGTGACATTTTGCGTAATCAGTCCGCCAGCTTCTCTCAAAGAAGCATCTGAGCTGTGCATAACGCTGTGCCATACAGTCTTTTTCAAGTGCACACGGCACGCTCCTAAAGTTGATGTGCAGCTTTTTTCTAGAAAGTTTAATTTGAAAAATACCACTTCAAAAGCTCAACGGGGTTGGCATTATTTACCACATATGCTAGACCGGAGGCATAACACAGTCCTTTTTTCCAAGCGTCGGTATCCGTCGGAATGTATTTGTATAGATCTAAAACTGAATATCAAAATCATTTTAAGGGTAGATATCTAATCAACAGTTTTGAATAATGCTCAATATCTGTTTTGTTTATGCGTTATGTTTTTCCACATAACATAATTGCAACCCATCGCAATTTACTAATCCTTGCTTCTAAATTTAAGAAGAACAATCAAATTGGTACCTTTTATTCTGAAAATGGGAGCAACAAAAGAAATCTAAGAGATTTTTAAACGGTAATCACACAGCCGCTAAATGCCATACGCGGTATTTACCATGCAGACGAGTTACAAACGCCTTGACTACATCAAATAAGCATGGACAACTTGAAAATTACATACCAGGGTGCGTGGTTGCATACGTGCTGTCTAGAGTTGGCAGGTGTAAGAGATAACCTGACTAGAATTTTGACATTGCAGTTGGCACGACGCTAATAATGAATTAAACATACCATTTTACGATCAGTGATTAAGTCAGATTTTGGCCGGTCCTAAAGAGAAGTGAGTCTCGCAAAAAGTGTTCCAAAAGCTGCTTGATTCTGTTCCTCTACTACATATACTTTTCTCGTAAAATAAATTACGAATATCCTCGGACCAGCGTATGGAGGTGTCCATGTAAAAAATAGAACCGAATTCTTTTAGCGCCATCTAAAGGGTTTGTTGTACAAACACAGATGAGAATTTCTAAAGAAGAATTATTTTTGAATCAAATTTACTGCTAATAATTGGCTTCCATCTGTACTCTTAAGCTTTCTGATGTAATGTGGATAAATCTCGAAGGGAAGCTTGAGCAGTTCTAAGAAGCATTTGCTCTTGATAAATATTTCTACATAAATAATGCTGTGATTACGTCGGCAAAATAAAGGGCATACCTTGATGTCGATTGCTGTCTCGTTCTCAAGCCCCAAATCATAGACGATAATTTTCTCCGTTTTCCAGAGTTTGCGAATGTTGGCCAGCTGTAAAATGAAAATCCCAAGTAAGCAAGACGAAAGATAATAATAGATAGAGGTGAGTAATTAATCGATGCAACGGAAAAACTGACAAGGACAGCGCTACAACTTGACCAAGTTGGGGACAACTCTTATGCGAAGGGTTTTCAACTACGCATTTATTCTTCCTTATTCAGATAAATTCCGCTTATATCCTCTAGAAAATTAGAACATATACATATCAAAACAAAACGCAGTTTAGCACAGACTTTGTTTTAGAACATTTCATATTGCGGTGAATGTATTTGAACTTAGCGTTGCCTTGAACCACTGTATGCTTTCAATTTTTGAAAAGAACAATGGTTTTTGTTTTCGCTTGAAAACTGCATAAGTGCGGTGTTTATGAAACAAAAAATGAACACAACATAGTTATTTACATCTTTGCAAAGCAAACGTTCAAAAACTGTATAGCGATTTCTACGATGCGATGTCAACATTGTATCCAAAGATTTGCTTTGGTTTAAGAGAAAGCCGTTATTGACCTGAAATTTGCCTCAAAACTAGACTCTAGAACAAAACTTTCATACTTATATTACGTCGTCCCATGATAAAAATCGCTTTTTGAACGAGACTTATAGGAGACTAGCGGGCTTTTCTGGTCCGCTTGGACTGGGATTCCTGCAATGTGACTATTTAGACCAGAACGACTAACACCCTCCTCCTATTTTCTTTCAATTATTTCTTCACCCTCTCCCATCTTCTCTCTTTCTTTTCCAAATCAGACTACAGCGCTTCTGAGCAGACGTGTCTTTTTTACTACCCTAATTTCACGCGTACAAGGCGCGGGGGATTTTTTTCGAAAATCGACCAGCCCAAACACGGCAAAGGACTTCGCGAACAAAAAACTATATACAGCGGTGTATATTGTCTGAGAGTATCGTGCGGCATAAGTCTCGTTTTCCGAAACAAAACGAGGCGGCTGAGCGGCACGTTTGAAAAATCCAAAAAGGTGCGCCTTGTACGCGTGAAATTAGGGTAATTGCTTTGCCTTGGAATCCCCCTCACCACGAAATGTGAATGAGTTTCACCACCAATCTCACATGATTATTTGGTTTTTGAAAATTTTTAAAAAGTCATTTCAAGTACTTACAGGTATGAAAAAGCCAATTGCAATTTTTACAATTTACGTAAGTAAACTTCAAGAATTTCGCGTCTCATTCTCGCGGCCTCTCCCCTCCCCTCGTATGCCACTCTGTTTGATAAGTTTTAAAACCCTTTTACCTGATGTAGGAAAACGCATCAATTAATCGATAGAAAAGCTCGCTTATAATGGCAAAATATAGTCTATAATGTGCACTGGGGTTATGAATACATGTGCAAAGTTTGGCACTCATTGGTTTACTCACAAAGGTTCCTACAAGTTTCGCTGTTTTCGAAGACTTTTGTAGTGATTTCATGGAGAAGTCTAACCGGGTAAGGAATCCTTAGTCGAAGTGGCCATATGGGAAATGATGCATATGGGTAGACAGCTCTTTGAACGCTGATCGCAAATCTGTTTTTGTTATCAGGTTGATGCATAATTCCTGCACCAAAATAGGTACAGACCGCAATAATCTGGAATAATCCTATATGCTGAATAGGATTCGATATCTTATTAGATAGAGCAAGCCTAGCTCTACAAGATATGCTTTAAGTTTTGCAGCAGCTAAGCGAAGATTGGAGCCAAAAACGAAAATGATTCAAGCGCCCCAAAAAACCAAGAAAATGGAAATCCATTCAGAAATCCTTCAAAATTCTAACTTGCTCATGCATTGTCATT